AGGGAGCCGCCGCACACGACGGCCACCACCCTCCTGGTGCAGCTGCTCAGCGCCTGCCCGGGGCCGGGGCCGGGGCCGGGGCCGCAGTCCCCCTGACCCCCCGCCAGCAATCCTGCGATGCCTTGGAATAAAGAGCCTGTGCTTGGTACCACGAGGCTTCAGCCTGGGGGTGGGGCCTACCCGAGGGGCGTGGTCTGTCCCCAACAGGCGGGGTTTGCTTTAGGGGCGAGGCTTGGTCCTGGGAACTAAAGGAAGGCATGGACAGGCGGGTCCGCGGGGTGTGGCCTGATGCAGACGGCGGGGCACAAGAGAGGGGTGGGACTGGGGGCTTGGGTCTCCGGGCTCACAGATCGGGGCCAGGTTGCAAGGAGCTGGGGGGCGGGCCTCAAACCAGGCCCAGGCTCTCCAGGAGCCGGTGGTGGGCGGGAGCCCGGTCTGTTGTCCTCCCCGCAGCCCGCTCGCGCTGCCGGGACCGGGGCTCGAACAGGAGTGAAGAGGGGTGAAGACGGCGGTGCGGCCCTGACACCTGATGGCCAGAGGAGGCATTGCACCCCCAGCCCCCGTCCCGCACGATCCAGCGCGGGGGGTGTCCATCCCAGATTCCTGGATTCTATGTGCGGGTCTGTCCGCGTGTGTATCACGTGCATGTCTATGAGTGTGTGTGTGGGTTATTTGTGTGTTTGTGCACGTGTGTGCGTGAATGCGTGCGGGTGTGTACGTATTGGATGCCTGGGTTCTTTATGTGTGTTGGATGCCTGGCCTGTGTGTGAAGGTGCATCTGTGTATGTAAGTGCATGCATGTGTGTGTGTGTGTAGGTACCTTTGCATCCCATGAACTGCTGCTGGCTTGGCTAGGCACTGTGGAGACACCGCCCCCACCCCCAGCACCTCAGCAGGCTTTAGACCAGAGGTGGGCAAAATCCCAGCTGCGAGCTGAATCCAGCCCCACAATTCCATCTGGCCCTCCTGCCCCTCTGCAAGCAGCACATCCCTGCAGGAGGTGCACTCTGGGGCTTAAGCAACCACCTCCTGCTCCAGCCCTGAGCTAGGAGCACTGGGGACAAGAACTCCCTGCCTGGCCAAGTATGTGTGCTGGGGCCCCCCAGCCGGCATGAGTAGGAACGCAGGTGAAGGGCCCACCAGGCCAGGGCAGGGACTGCTACTGGGGGAAACAGACAGGAGCTGTGTGCTGTGGGGCTGGGCCAGCCTGGCCCCCCACACTGCAGTAGCACAGAAGTGAGCTATGGGGCTAGGTGGGGCTGGTCCTGGATGCTGCCACCGTGTGCAGGCAGGGACTTGGGCTGGAGCTGTGTTGTGGGGCTGCCCACCCCCACACACACTGCTACAACCTGCAGCCAGGGCCAGGGGCAGGAGTGCAGGAAGCTGTGCACTGTGGGGCCAGGCATGCTGGCCCCACTTGCTGCCACCCCATGCAGACCCAGGGACTCCAAGGACCCCTCCCTCCTCCACACACATTCCCACACCCCCACCATGTCTCCAAACACACCCTCCCACACACTCCTACCCCACACCATAACCCCCCCACACCCACACTCTTCCACAGCCCCTACCCCAACTACAGACCCCACACCCACCCTGCCACCCTCCCTTATATGCCCCACTGACCATATCCACACTGCACACACATCCGACACCCACCCACATACACCCTCCTACCCTCCCACACACAATAGAAAAAAGATCATATTTTGAGTTATTCTGCCATCACCTCTAGATACACTGTGCAAACACACACAAATTGGGAACTTTTTTTATATACAATTAAAATAAGTTATAGTAGATTTTTTATTTTTTAGTGTATAATTTGTTGAGTTTTTTTCTGGTTCAAGATGGCAGCACCCTTCCTCCCAAAAGGAGTAATTTTGGGGCAAGAGGAGGGACTTGAGGTGGCAAAGGTCAGGGCTGGGGGTTGGTATTAAGATGGCAACAAGAGAGGCAGGGCACCTGTCAAGGGGTGGGGCTACCTTTGTGGCCCTGGGCAGCTCACCAAAACTCATTAAGCAGTCCTCCACCCAAAATAATTGCCTGCCCCTTATGTGGACCCAAGAGGTTCAGGATCTGGTTCCAAGATGCCAGCCGCGTGCCCAGGAA